AGCTTCGTTTATGTGATCATAAATCATTCTGATGTGCAGATCTGATGGTCGAGAAACATTTCTTTTTCTCTCCGGTTTCTTTTTGTCATTTTATTTAGGATTTTATGAATAGAAAGTTAAACTTTTATTTTAAAGCATCCTTATTATCGTCCCTTTGAGATTTAATTGCTGTAGTTTATTAATAGTTTGGATTTAATTGTTCATTTATTCATTCATTTTCTTTAAAAAGGGTTTATTAATCTGGGGTTGCCACAGCAGAATGAACCACTAACTATTCCAGCATATGTTTTACGCAGCGGATGCCCTTCCAGCTGCAACCCATCACTGTGAAACACCCATTCACCTATAGGGCGAAGCAGTGGCGCAGTAGTTAGTGCTGTCGCCTCACAGCAAGAAGGTCGCTGGTTCGAACCTCGGCTCAGTTGGCGTTTCTGTGTGGAGTTTGCATGTTCTCCCTGCGTTCGAGTGGGTTTCCTCCGGGTGCTCCGGTACAGGTGAATTGGGTAGGCTAAATTGTCCGTAGTGTATGAGTGTGTGTGTGAATGTGTGTGGATGTTTCCCAGAGATGGGTTGCGGCTGGAAGGGCATCCGCTGCGTAAAAACTTGCTGGATAAGTTGGCGGTTCACTCCGCTGTGGCTACCCCGGAATAATAAAGGGACTAATGAATGAATGAATGAATTCACCTATGGCGCATGTGTTTGGACTGTGGGGGAAACCGAAGCACTTGGAGGAAACTCACGCGAACACAGGGAGAACATGCAAACTCCACACAGAAATGCCAACTGACCCAGCCAGGGCTCAAACCAGCGACCTTCTTGCTGTGAGGTGATTGTGCTACCTACTGTGCCACCATGCTGCCCTTATCCAAGCCAAACTAAAAGAAATAAGAAGGAAAAATACTGTGAAAACCTCTTCGCTCTGTCAAACATTGATTCATTTATTCATTTTCCTTCAGCTTAGTCTCAATTTCAGAGGTCGCCACAGTGGAATGAACCGCCAACTATTCCAGCATGTGTTTTACGCAGCGAATGCCCTTCCAGCTGTAACCTAGTACACTCATTAACACACACACACATACACGACGGCCAATTTAGTTAATTTAATTCCCCTATAGCGCATGTCTTTGGACTGTGGGGGAAACCGGAGCACCCGGAGGAAACCAGCGCCAACATGGTGAGAACATGCAAACTCCACACAGAAATGCCAACTGACCCAGCCGAAAACTTGAATCAGCGGTCTTTTTGCCCCTCTGTTTTGGGAAATATTAAAAAAGATTAAAAAAATTCACAAGGGGGCTAATCATTTTGACTTTAAGGGCTCTATTTTGACGATCCATGCGTAAAATGCAAAGCGCAGAGCGCAAATGCTTTCAGAGCATGTCAGAATCCACTTTTGCTAATATAAGGATGGAAAAATTTGCTTTGCGCCATGGTGCATGGTCAAAAAGATTTGAGCTTATTGTCTTAATGAGTTATAGGTGTGTTTTGAGAATAAACCAATCAGAGTCTCATCTCCCATTCCCTTTAAGAGCCAGTTGAGTCGCGCCATAAGCGCATTTGCTAATTACATGAGGACTTTGTAAGTGGAAAAACTGAGCGTTTCACTAGCAAGAAAACAGTTAAACAGAGCATCTGCAGTGTGAGAATGAGAGATAAGCTTTCACTCTCTTGGATAGGGAAACCTTATACGCACAGACAACAATTAGCTTATAAATAGTTAATTTAGTTTGTTGGGCACAAATATTTGTTTCAAAACTATTTCTAAATTCAGTTATAATTTCCAGCAAACGAATAAATGAACAATAATAACAAAGTGTGGTCAGAAAACTGAGTTATATACTAAAACACATGCTGTGCCCCATATGGTCTAAAACCTGACAGGTGGACAAATCTAAGCTTGTTTTTAATAAAAAACAAATATAAATATGGATATAATAAATAATACTGCTAATAATAATAACATTATACAAAAGCAAATTGTTATGAATGAACTGAAAAAGCCTCCCGAGATGAAGGCATGAAGGCAGTGGTTTTTACATTTATGTAGGCTAGAAAATAATGTTTTGTAATATTTTAATCCTTTATATTTATATCATATATATATCCTTATTACATCCTATATATATCTTTAATATTTTAATTCTTTTTCATATGTAAAGATATTTGCGTATTGCTCTACATCTTGTGTGTATGAAGCAGTGTGTAAGCGAGGCGCATAACTAACTTGCTCTGCGCTGGATAATAGACCGGCTTTATTCTGGTCTATTGAAAAATCTATTATAGTTTCTCAAAATAGCAACGCGCCAGCAATGCACCTCAACACGCCTCCTTTTTAGACCAGAACGCCTACGGGCGCACATATGAGCGCAAATGCATTTGCTATTTAAACAGCGTGCTGCAAAACATCAAAACGACTAGCAAACAACTATTGTGTAGCACCTTGCGCCGGGTGTATGATAGGGCCCTACCAGGGCCGGAGCAAGCTGAACTGCCGCTCTAGGCAGAGGACGATCACGCCGCCCTCAATCCCAATGTAAAAACGAAAGTGACCGGTTATGAAAATGAAGTGAGGTGTCGCGGACCTTTATTCTGCCGCCCTATGCGCGGATATAACTGAGGACGCGCGGGTGCTGAGGGAGAGAGGGAGGTGTCGCTGACGCTGCCCTCTCTATTCTGTCGCCTATGCGCGAATATATCTGAGGACGCGGGTGGTGAGGGAGGTGACGCGGACATAACTGAGGACGCAGGTGGTAAGGGGGGTGTTGCTGACGCCGCCCTCTCTATACTGCCGCCTCTATGGACGCGCCAGCCCTGGGCCCTACATCATAATATTGACTTTTTATCCAAATAACTTCAGCAAAAAAACAAAATCAAAGTGCACACAAAAAAAAAAAAACCTGGGTTCCACACTATCGTTTTGTATTGAGTCAACAAGGCGAAATTAAGCTAAGTTGATTGAACATGAAATAATTAAGTTGTCCCAAAAGAAACCTCAAGAATTGTGTTGCTTCAGCTCATTTTAAATCAGTAGTTTGAACAAACATGTTTCTGCGTCATGTTTCTGAGTGCATCAGCACAGAAAGACAAATCCCAATATTAAAATCAGGCTGAATTATGAAGCTCCTCTAATTGGCAGCTGGACAGTCTCGCGTCTGTAATAATTCAAATCTACTGTCCAAATGTGACTGCGGGATTCAGTCCGACTCATTTTATGCAGGAGCGCGGACGTAATAAAAGCCTCGGCGCTCTTCATTCTCTGCCCGCGTCGACTGCATGATAAATCAAAGCGCAGATATTTCAGCAGAATTTAGCCCAAGGAGAGGTAATTTAAATAATATCTCTTGCGCCCGAGCTGCTTCCGAATAAAAATTATGTCTCTGGCAATATTTCACCCAATATGAAGCAGAGAAAATGATTTTCTTCCTAAATAACAAAAACGCAGTAACTCAAATAGGCAACCTTTCTATAAGCAAGGTTAATTACGTCTGCTTCTGGGAGAGATGCGGAAAACAGACGCAAACCTTCATTACATTTCATTATCCAGCGCATCTGTAGATTTGGGAAGTGATCATTACGCATTATAATCTGTCACCGGTGTTTTCAGGAAGGTTTCTGACTTGGAAAGGTTATGGAAGTCACGGCTCTGGAGATCTGGAGTTAATGGAGCTGATTATTAAACTGAATTATTAATCTGCGAGGAGCTGTTGCCGGGGTGGGAAAAAAGCACAATGACTCTGTGAATGAGTTTATAATCGTGTGTACATTAGTAACAGTTGTTCAGCTGACAATATGATTCGGCTGCACCACTGTGGCCTTGTTGAGATTATGACGCACTTGAAATCTTATATATATATATATATATATATATATATATATATATATATATATATATATATATATATATATATATATATATATATATATATATATATATATATATATATTAAATATGGCATGTTTGGCTCATTGGTTAAGACTGTTGCCTCACAGCAAGAATATCACTGGTTCGAGTCCCGGCTGGACCAGTTGGCATTTCAACAGTGTGGAGTTTGCATGTTCTCCCCGTGTTGGCGTTGGTTTCCTCCAAGTGCTCTTGTGTCCCTCACAGTCCAAACACATGCACTATAGGTGAATGGAATAAACTAAATTGGTGTATAAGGGTGCTTTCACACTTAGACTTTTGTCTCGTTTGCCAAGTTAGCGCGGTTTGTTTGGCAAAGAGAGAAGATATTTTCAACACATTTCTAAAAATAATAGTTTTAGTAACTCATCTCTAGTAACTGATTTATTTTATCTTTACCATGATGACAGTAAATAATATTTGACTTTATATTTTTCAAGACACTTCTATACAGCTTAAAGTGACATTTAAAGGCTTAACTAGGTTATTTAGGTTGACTAGGCAGGTTAGGGTAACTAGGCAAGTTATAGTATAACGATGGTTTGTTTTTTAGACTATCGAAAACATATATAGCTTAAAGAGGCTAATAATATTGACCTTAAAATAAGTTTTAAAATTGTAAAAACTGCTTTTATTCTAACCGAAATAAAACAAATAAGACTTTCTCTAGAAGAAAAAATATTATCAGACATACTGTGAACATTTCCTTGCTCTGTTAAACATCATTTGGTAAAATATTTTAAAAAGAAAAAAAATAAATAAATAAAAGGGGGCTAATACTTCTGACTTCAACTGTGTGCAGGTACATTTCACTTTAGAAAATACACCCTTAGGTTTAGTCAAAAAGGGTGCTGTCCTTCGAATAAACATTGGTGAATTTCTACACACTGATAAAGGAACCCTTAACATTCACAGAGTTTGTGTTGTTTCTTCATGCAGAATAGAGTTATAAATTAAAATTAACTTTAGCTGCTTTATTTTCAGAGGTTTAGTGAAGGCCGCTCAATTTTGACCAAAAGGACAGACGGTCTACACAGAATAGAATAGAATAGAATAGAATAGAATAGAACATCAGGAGGGTTAAAGCAACATATCTTAC